AAAGCCTTTCGGAAATTTGCAATGGAAGAATTCACAATGGAGCAACGAATAAAAAGTAATTAGAAAATAGGGATTGATTACTCTTCGTGGCATTACACTAAACAGTAATCTTTATAGAATACAACCTACGTTGATGAATAGCTCTTGGGTTTTCACTTTTCGGTATCCGAAAACCTGGTGTTCTGTTTAACATACCCATTGAGCTGAAAATGGGGCTCATCTCCCATTAGAATAACGTTAGAACAATGGAACACTGAATTTGAAAATAAAATCCAATTATTTTTGCTCGTTGTTCCACTGTGAACATTTCCATTATAAATTTTCAAAAAACAAACTTTATAAATCTGAAACAAAAATTTACATATATACAATAAAAAGGAAGTTATACAACCTTTAAACGGATAAATGACCTTTGTGCCACCTTGTGCTAATAACAAATTAATAATAATAATATATTATTATTATTTTCTGAGCTTTCAAGATATTTTCCAAAGTTAATAAAATACAACTGGTTCGGTAATAGAACTAATGGAAAAAGTATCATATGTATTATGATATATAAGGAATGGTTTATAGAAGTTTTACTTTAAACTGAGATAATACAACCTTTTTGTGATTGATTAAGATTTAAATATTACAAATTATAAAAACATGACTGAGTTAATTCTCAATATAATGGTTTGTGTTCAGACAACTCACGCTGCAAGCTGTTAATATATGCATGTTGTATGTATGTACACATACATATATTATATATGGACGTTTCTGCATTCAACACAATGCAACGACTCGTCTAATATTAGACTGAACACACAAAGATTAAAAGAAAAGAACGTATTAAATCACATGTTCTATTTTTTATAAAGAAACAATTTTAAAATTCAGTACACTTTCAATATCAATGTTATTTTAAAATTGTTTTTTTATTTCGTTTGGGGGGCTGAACATGCGTTCTTTCATCTTCTTTAAAATTTTCAAAATATTGCTTATCATGATATTAAAATATCATTTCTTTTAAAAATTGTACTTTTAACTTTTACAATATTTCGTCTTGTTAGCTACTTTTAAAAGATTTAGATCTTTGAACTTTCCTGTTTTTTCAATTATGTCTTTACTCTACTTATTATGTTCTATAATCCTCATATGGAAAAATGTCTGCTTGAATGTTTAAGATAACTCCTTTAGATTTTATCAACCAATATTTACAATGTACATACAGTCAGTCACGAAAGTTTTCATATACTCTATAACAAGGCTATTTTTATTAAAATAAAATTTTATCGCAACGGTAGAAGTATACTCAATGCACACACGAGTAATTATGTAGGAGCAACGTATGTATAATATATGTATAGGACTTATATAAGAGCTACATAAGAGTAGTAAATATAGTTTATTTTAAGCGAAGTAAGCTAAAAATTAATTTATAATTAAAAACAGAACACGATTTCCAGAAAATATCAACTGTAGTTTTAAATAAAAAGGCTGTATAAACACAATTATTTCTTTTGATCTGTTCAAATATTTTTGTACAATTTTGCTACAAAAGTTATTAAATTGTTACTTCACACTTACTAAATATAAAATATAAAATGACCCTATTCTAGGGTATATGAAGACATTATATTGACTATAAGACTTTATATTCATTGATAGTTAAATATTGTTTGTCTATTAATTTAAGTCAAACAAGATGTCAAATTGCGAATGCTTTCTTGTTTCATGAATTCTTTGTCTCACACAGTACACTGGATACATACGAAATTCGAATCACTTCCTTTTATGAATTTAAATTTACAATCAATTAATCATTCTGTGGTCACAGCAACATATGATATTGGTCATACTACTCATGATTTTCTAAATCTAAATCTTATCTAAATCTTTTGACGATATTAACCTTGAAAATAAACAATATAGTAGACCTGCAAATATTTCAACAAATCTAGAATGACAGTAGTCTTTCGAAACTAATATTTAAAAAATTTTGTCTCGTTGACAAAAGCGACGCATTAAAAATGTAAGTTCCTATTTGGTATAGTCTAGGTAAGATATTGAAAGGTATAAACCATGTGACAAGATAAGGAAATGGTTGAGGGAAAGTAGACCGAAAAGTAAAACAAAAGACAACGGAAATATGCATGTATATTGTATATATCACCGTTTCTGCGAAGATAAGATGTGTAATATGAGAAACCGCGATAGGATCGATAAAACATTTAGTTGAACATTGTGTAGCCATGGAAAGAATGAATTTAGATGTGGAAGAAATTTTGCAAGATGGGAGGTAATTGAAAAAGATTTACATTAGAGATTATGTTATGTAAGTACAAAAGTAGACTCTTTAATGACGTACTGTGCAAAGGAATACATATGAATGATGGATGAGGATATGGATATTCAAGATATTTTTGTAAACCAAGTCCGATTTCTTTTAAAACAATTTCTAGTCCGTGAGATTAGAATTTAATGAATATATATTCTACAATGTAATTTCATTATTGCTCTTAAGACTAGTTCAGATACGCTCCAGTACAGTAGGCACGTAGCAATTTACACTGTTTACTTTGGAAAAGATCACAACGGATGATTGCAATTCAGCCTCGTTTCATCCACAGTGATCCTCTAAAGCGAACAGTGTAAATTCGACTTTACCTGCTACTTCCTTACTGTACTGATCGTGTCCGAATCAGGCTTTATGGAAGAAGACGTGGAAATGGTATTAGGGGCAATGGGACAGGTTCGAGGAAATAGAGACACTAAGGAAGATAAAAAAAGGATGAGGGAGGGAGGGAGGCAGGGAGAGAGAAAGCAAGGAAAGAGAGGGAAAAACAAAGGGGTTAAGGGCAATAAGAAGAAAGAGAAACAAAAGCAATATTAAACTCCGGGAAGAAATTAAATAGGAAGTATGGCGGAAAGAGAGAGTGAAAGAATTTAAATAATATGATAGGCGTTATGTGAGATATATATATATATATATATATATATATATATATATCATCAATTCAATATATATATATATGACGCATTAAACTGTAAAAAATGAAAAGTACGTTGTATACCTCAATTTCATATAGCTACTGTAAAACGCAGAAAGTTTTTCAAAAACGCAGGAGCAAGACAAATGTTAAACTCAAAAATCATATATAAATAAATGTCATGTAATGTCTCCACATGTAACCAGTGAAAATCTAAAATACGTAATTTATAGACGTAAAGTATATAGTATGAATGAAAGTATAGGTAGAGAAAAATGAATGAAGAAAGGTAAACATAGAAAATAAGAAAAAATGTAAATAAAAGCTAGAAGTCCTAAGCCAACAGGTAAGAACTACATATATATAACAAATAAATAAATAATAAATGATACTATCGCCCTTAAATATTCGGACATCTTAATCAATTCATAATAGTACTAAATTAAATACAAGACTTACCCTTCGACGTACTATCGGTTTCAAATATCAGTATTCAAATTAATTTCGATATCGATTTCTTTCTGCTATATATTGGATTGTAACATATGAAATGCCCGTTAGATTGCGTCAAATTCTTTATTCAGATTATATCAAAAAATATGTTAATTTCTTACAATATAATTTAAACAAAATTAAATATCGATCTATGTTGTTTCTTTCCCTGTATTCTTTTGTTTGGAATATTGTTGGAAGTTAGGAGTATTCTCTATCTATAATAAAACAGTGAATATTCTAGTCTAGTATTATGCAAAATTTTTATGTATAAGTCTAAGTATATTCCTTTTCGTATCTTTTATTTTCGCGCTGGTTGATGAAATAATTCAGTATTCCGTCGTTTCTAAGATGAATGTGTCATATCAATAAATATATTTCTTATACACGAAAAACAATTATTTGCTTTCCTTTATTTTATCATTATTTGTAATGATCAAATATTTGGCAAATAAATAATTTGGAAATGATATGTCTGAAATTTATGGATTTATTCATCTGCAGTTTTGGAATTTATTTGCAAACAACTTTATTTTCAAATTATTTTATTTGGAGTAATTATTTGATTTACTTATTCATCATTTTTATTTGAAATAAAAGATGTTAAATCCTGTTTAGAACTTTTTCTATTCGATTTATATAGCTTACATAAAGAGCTTCTTAAACAATAAAACAATTTTACAACGTTATTATGAACACCAATTTTCTTACAACATTAGTTTTTAAAAATCAATGTTTTTATACACGATCATAAAGAATAGAATTAGTCAGAGGTCTTTTTATCTCGCAGTTTTTCATTACGTTATATTTTATGAAAAATAGAAAAGTGTTTGGATAATTTTATGCAGCAATGCATATAGAAATAAGTTTGTAATATTTACAAGAATGACATTAATTTAAATAGAAAGATGAGTGACGAGAAAATTTAGTAAAACGAAGTTCCATTTCTTAGTCAGTGGGACTATAAATAAAGTTTATCTTTCTATTTATATAAGATTCTGTTTAAAAATTTGAAGTTAACCTTCATAGGACTCCTCAAGATTATCACGAAGTCAATATCAGCATCATCTGTTTACCTTGATATGCTACAACCTTTGTCTAAAATATTTTTTCGCATCTTCCACATTCTTGCAGATATTTGTCATCGAAGAGTAAAATAAAACACTGTGATTATATCTGATTCATATGATTAACTGATTCAACTGTTATAAATTACTAATAAGTAGAATACGGATATTTATATAAATTCATATTTTTATGCGCACGATTAAAAAATTGAAACTTGGATATAGACAATCGTTTTATTTATTAAATATTATAACGTGTATAATATTTTGGCTATTTTATATGTTTATGCTTATTGCGTACATTCTGCTCATTCTTGCACTTAAAAATTTTGTATAAATGCGTAAAAATCCAAAATCTACTAATAACCCACATGTAGCGATATACAATATTTTAAGAGTGCGTAAGTGTAAATTTTTAAACTAAACATGTAAGAAAGATATGAAGTGTTTATATATAGTTTACCTGAGAACATAAGCATCCACATGCTCGGTGCGACAAATGCTGATAATTTCACAACGAACGATTTTTAGTAACGATTGCCACTTCCATCTGAAATAAAATTTTATCTTTGATCAATATAAATTTATATGGAAATGAATCTTAAATATCGTTTATTAAGTATTTCCTTTTATTATCTGTCGTGTTAGTTATTTTAAAGAGTAATACGTAAAGAAATGTATATTCATAAGGAGTTGAGTATCATTCTTAAACAATAATTCAATATTATTAATAATTATTCATGATTATTCAATATTCAATCGACTGCTTCTTGTGAACATTTATATAGTTAATCCATTAATTTCAACTATATATGCTCCAAAAGGTATATGCGAAAAACATTGTATAATATACGGATGATGCAATAAATACAAATACAAAATACGTACAAGGTAAATCTCGTATTCAGAAAAATAATCAATTTCACATTTTGGTGTTAAATAGAGAATAAAAATATATATATCTGAATTATTTTACGGAGTAAGCTAGCATATTACTTAATTAACATTTTATCATAGAGAATCAATTAACAATTTTGTCATTCACGGATTAGCAATACAAAAAGAAAAGGTAAAGTGCGGTATTACTATAACCAGTTATAATTTTTATAACATGCATGAAATAGTCATAACGGTAAGAATCTGGTAATAATATCAGTTCATTTACAATTCGAATATAAACGATGCAGAAATTATAATGATGATATTTACATACGTGAGAAGATAAGGATAGCTGTGCGAATCGATGGAAATTTAATTCGTATACGAGATTAATAATAGTTAGAGAAAATTGTTAGAAGAAATTCTTAGACGGAATTCTAAGAACATGAAAAATTGTATAATTTTCCCATAATGATATTTGATATAATACGTCAATACAATATACAATGTGTCTCAACAATCGTGATACAATCGGCAATAGGGTGATTCTACGTGAAAACATAAGTCGAAAAAATTTTTTTAATATATATATTACACTTACAACTAACTCTATTGAGCCAACCAACAAATTATGATATGTATAATATGATAATGTGGGTATCGTATGCGCGTGGATAACACTCAATAGTGCTTCCACTTCATGGTCGAAAGTATAGAATAAAATTTTTTAACATGATATTTTGTTTCGAGAAAATCGAGTTTGGAAATTTGTCAAGTATACTTGAACTTGGCTAATTTCAAACTGAACGGGGCTAAATAATAGAGAGGGCATGAATTTCTTGAAATAATTATTTCTTTATTCGTTTCATTTCACTCAAAATATTTTAATATTCAAATGTTTCTATTACCGTCACATTTTACACAACTAGCATTCAAATGATAAATACTATTAAAATACATGTGCTATACAGGTATTGAGATATAATAAAATAGTTTTCTCCTTGACCCTGAATTCTATCTTTTGATATTTTACACTTATTTCGGTTGCCCAAAAAATCCAATATTTCTATGAATCTCTTAATTATCTCTAGACATTTCAATTTATTCGAAACAATTTTTTACTTGTATCTATATTTACGTAATATTTGCATTTAGTTTATTAATTACGTCAGAATATTTAACTTAATATGCAATGCATAAAATGCCTCTGGACAAATATGATTTCTAATCATTCTATGTCATTAAATTATAATATGAGTAAATTAACTGTATTACAGTACAACGTATAGTTTTGGATTTTTGTATATCCATACATGTGTATATTTGAGATAAACGTTTTATTATTAAATCAAAGTGAAAAATGATATCAAACATTGCATTTAACAAGCGAATATGAATAGCATGGAGCTTGGATAATATTTAAAATAAACTATTTATTTAATCCGTTATAAAATGTTACAGATGTTACAGATTTTTATTTTGTTACAAAATGTAAAGTAAAGTAATTGAAGTAACTGAATGTTGATGATGTTGCATTTTACTGAATGTGGAAGCAAGGTATATTTCTATATATGACTATTCGTTTAACTTCAAATTTACTTATATTTGTTTTCTTAAATCTGTTCCTGTTTTCAAAGACATATATCTCCCTCTTAATCTTATTTTATTTACTTAATATGTTTCAATATACATATTTATGAATGTTGTTGTGTGAAATGTGGCGATAATAGAAACGTTTGAATATTAAAATGTTAAGATGAAACAAATAAAGAGATAATTTTGAGAAATTAATTGTCTTCCTGACGAAGTAAAAAGCTTTCCATAATTTACTTTATTTACAGCAAATTTGAGGAAATTAAAACTGTAATATTCTTTGTAACAATTTGTAAGTACGAAATGAAAGATTTCGTATGCAAAACAAGGAACAAAGAGTAAAACGCTCTGCATATACTGTACTGTAATATACGCTTCTGCATATTTTCCGTTTGTGCTTGCCAACACGTTTAGTTCGTCTAATTATAAAAATTTATAGTTGTTCTACTGCCTTGTGTTCTTATGCATTACTACAAGAGATAAATATATAACGTGTATAACGAAATCCTTTAGTATTTCATATAAGTGTAAAATCATGTAGTAAAGCACGTCGAAAATTAATGTGATATTAATAAATACAGTAGTCGTCAAGAAGCAATGTTTGCTAACGTAGATACAAATATTAGAAATTAAAATTAATAATTAAATAATAAAAATAACAATAATAGTTATAATAATAATAATTACATTATTGTACTTGCAGAATTAATACAGATTATCGGACAAATACATGTATTGGGAAAAGATAAACTAGAAAACAACACTAGAAAAAATAAGTAGAAAAATAATTTAAAAGAATATAACGTCAATAATGGCGATATATTTCTACAAACATAAAATTTATTACACAGAACTTCAAAATCTGATACTTTCATGCTTTTCAAACATTTCGAAATACAAAAAATAGATAAATGTTTAATTTTCTAATTTGTAGATATAACAGCAAGTACGAGTTCATCGAATATAAAATAAACAAACATTGAAGTTTTTACTACACAATTTACCAATAAAATATTAGTTTCTTTTTAATTTATTATTTCGATCAAAATTTATTTGGAAATTTAGATTATATTAATATTTAAACTTTTATAACAACATAAAGTTAAAGTTATAAATAATTAGTTTTATTTTCTCTCTGAGCAAATTATAATGCTGCCGAGTGTTGCTGTAACGTCCTAACAAATACTCTTTCCACTTTCATTTCCTCGTAAAATAATATATATTTTATATATTATTTATATATAAATTATATAAATTAAATAACATTCACTTTGTATTACGCTACTGCGCTTGTATGTGCTACTTACGCTAGAGCGTTTTACTCTTTTTTTTGCAACATTCATTTCTTTTTTCATGTATAAACTGTTTCACAAATTTTTTATACTATTTTTTTACAAAATGATAATAATTAACTTGAGATATTTTTCTGTTAAAAGCTTTCATAGTAGCTTCTCATTGAATACAAAATATAAGTCTCTTAAGCTATGTACATACAGTGCGAGGCGTTTAAGTACCTGCCTCGTACCGAAATGTATCTTACGGCGAGGCTGCCTCGGAACAAGCAAACGATGGTTGGTTTTTTGGTGAGATCAAAGGTGCCTCACAGTTCCTTCGTTTGAACGGGTGTTGAAACGACTTTGTCTAAAACGTAACTGCTATTCACCCTGCGTTACGCACTCTATGTTCTACGTCTACGGTACAGCACGAGGTAACTCGAGCGAGGTAGCTACATATGAGGTGAGGCAGCCTTGCGGGTCTGTCTCACACTGTCTGTGCATAGCTGTAAACTCTTCTCATGTAGATATAGAATAACTATATACAAAACGTGCGTAATGAATGTGAGTATTATATTTATATTCACGATTATCAATAAAAGGATAACTATTATATTTTATGTTATAAAACATTTATCAATTATTTAATAGAATTTATACATACAATATGAAATTTTTTATAATTTACACGTTAAGTAATACAAAAATGCAATTATTGCATAAGTTTCGAAATTGATAATAACATTTCATATTCCTGCAATTTCTGTCTATTTCTTCTTATACACGGTTTATTAAATTGAAAATTTGAAATATTTTGATAATATTTATTTGACATAGTTTGATTCTCAATTAAATGAAAATATATTTATATACAAATGTTACATAAATTATACAAATGTATTGTAAATAACTATATAACGTGCGTTTCTCAAAAGTACTAATAAAATGTTAACAAAGTAAAAAATAAAAAGTAAAAAATAATACAATTACTATTAAGAATAATATTCTAATTATCATACTTCTTCATGTAAGTTGCATTTATTTCCTGTTAAAAATTGATCAACCAGTAGATACCACCCCATCAAGCCTATCATCGCATGTTCACTAAATTATTTAATTAAATAAATCACTATCATGCAATATATTCTAAGACAATAGACATGTATTACAAATGTATTATTTTCTGTAATAATATGGTAGTACCACAATTTTCGGTTATCTACCTATACTAATTGTTGTACATGATTTGTATATTCTGCATTAATGTTGAAAAAAGCTTATGTCATTATGTGTTACATTAATTTATATTCGATTTAAAAAGTTAAGGAAATGTTTATGGTCAATGTAAAAATTGACACCTTCAAATTAGCGTTTTTTTCAACCAATGATTTACTCTAAATGCTAGTAAAGTACCAGAAAAAAGGAAAATCGCATCGGTGCTTATGTCTATTTATATTCAATTTAAAATAAGGAGATAAAGCGATGTATATACACATCAGAGTCTCGTAGCCTCGCTTTAAGCGGTCGGTATTACTGGAACGAGAAGAGAAGGTGGGCGCATCGATCTTCGCCAAAAAACACGACATATATATACTACTGTAAAATTCAATGTATTCAATGTAGTGCGCCGAATATTTCTCCAACAAAATCATTTTTTTTAAGTCAAACACCGACTGCGATATTCAACAATTTAATCAAAGTCAAAGAAAGTAAAAGAAGAAATGTTATAAATTAATAGTTTTCTATTTTCCTGTCCAAAATATTAACACACGTGAGAAACTAATTCTCAAATGAGTGTTAGGTTAAGCGTACTAACGATTATGACCAGAACACTATATCACAAAGTACCGGCGATATGGTCATGGTTGCCAGGCCGGTTTTGTTTTATCAAAACATTTATTTCAAATAAAATTATATGTCATTGATCAATTTTTAATATTTATAATACCTCGAATGGCATTACGCTTTCGTAAATAAATTGACGTTCGAATATAACTAAAAATTTGAATATTTTTATTAAACCGTATTATACAAAATTGATATTACGTGGAATATAATAAGTTACGATGAAATTTTACATAAAATTATATGATTAAATTTAAAAGATTACTACGACTAGAGGAAACAGTTGATTAAATATGAGAGAGATAACATGTTTCAACTCACTGAGGAATCTGCCTAAGATCGCCCTGCTTTCTGTTTATGCTGCTGCTGCTTGTGAACCAAATCTCAAGGAGTTTCTCCACTCCTTCGAAAAATTGCACACTATCGGTGCTGTCGTTTTTGGTGGCTGCCATCCTTTGGAGGCACAAAATTTTATTCACAACTACGATATATGTGAAAACAAACAAAATTTCCTTCTTGAGTTTGTGTTTCGCTCCAAATGTATGATAAACGAACAGTCTCACCGAACTTTGCTTTACTACTGAGAACAAGTGATCGAGTAATCATATTGGCGGTGGTTTCTATCTCTCTCACTCTCGTTTGCGTGCGCAATATGGTAGTTCTCATCTTTTTCCTACTCCTTTGTACGATGCTCTTTCTTACCTACTATCTCTATTGGATGCGTATATCCACCGTTCTGCCAATCACAAACTACTTTTTGGCGCATGCGCATCAACCGATTATATTTAAAATATATCTCTATTCATTCTTCTATTTGCAACACATAAAATTTGAATTTATTATATATTATATATATATATTACATATATATATGTATTACACTTTCACTTATATAAACACTTCGATAAGTATTTCGATACTTAATACAGTCCAGTCAAAACATTGATATTTTTATTAAACTTTCAACATTATGATAGAAGAACGTTTCTCTACTGTTAATTCTTTATTTCTTGCCATAACTGGGATTCAATATTCTATATTATGTATATTATATATTATATCTATATTATGTATATTCTATATTATATATTCTGCTAAATTGAAACTAAAAAAGGCATACATATACCTGCATCAATCAAGTATTGTATCTATCATTAATAAATACAAAATTTATATAAACTTTTAGAATGTGATTAGAGGGACATATTTCAATCGATTTAGGTTCTCAAGATTGAATAGATACATTTAAAGTCATTTAAATTAAATATTTCCTTAGAAGCAATTTTCACCTTCAATTATTGCTTTTTAATTTATGCTAATTAATACTAACTATTACCAATATCTATTAACTATGCTTGAGATAAGATCACAGATGAAAATTAGATTAGAAAGCTTTATTTGAAGTGCATTTTATATATTTGCAATAATTTTGAAATGTCCAAATACTTATTTATGATAGTGTATATATAAAAGTGAAAGTGTTTCACAAAAAATAAAATATATTAATAATTTCTAATTCTATTAATTTTAAGAATTATATAGTCCGATAACTGTTTTTTATATAAATTCCGCTTGATCGTAAAATGTAATAAAAATTCATTTTACACTGTACATATTTCATTATCAATATCTAATTTTATTTATCCAACTTATTTATTTGTTCATTTAACTGACCAACAATCAATAATAGGCAAAAGGAGGAAATATAAAATTATTATATTACATACATTTTATACTACACATTTTAAAAAGAATGATTCTGTTTGAAAGATTTTTTTACAATATAATTTTTTCTGATTTATTTCATTGTTTGTTTATTTGTTTTTATTTGTCTTATCTTCTTTTTTTATTTATTTTCTTAGGAATAAATTTTCGATTCCTTTTATCACCTGTTTTAACTAAAACATCTTCAGTCATTGGTTCAATAATCCTCCCCATACTTGTTTTAATAGGGGGATCAATTAGTTTTCTGTGAGAATTTTCAGACACAAAATTTCTTCCAATTGGCATTCTGATGCTAGCTTCATAATCATTAACGCTTGAAAATGGATATGGCAATTCATTAACCTGATGTTCCTTTATTTTAGGATTATCTTCTTCAAATATTATCACATCACCTTTATTTTCATCTTTTCGAGGTAAATCTTTAGGTACCTTTAAAATAAAACGTCTCTTTTTGCGTCCTGAAATTTTAATATTTTTTCCACCCCAACTTCCCCATCCAGGTAAAGTTAAATCGATATCCTGAGGTTGACACTTTTTCACCTGTACATAGATTTGATATTATAATTTATGGAAGATTCTGGATAAAATACCATAATATCAATTTTTTTAACTTACCTCTTCTTCTTTTTCTCTCCTAAACTCTTCTATGACATCATCATCTGCAAATGCTTCACTTACTACATTACGTTTTTTTTCTTCATCTTCACTGTCATCTAAAACATCATTACCTCCGGTAATATCATTTGGAATATCTGTATGTAGATGCTTAGGTTTCACGTTTATGTATTTATTTGGATCTATTTCTACTTTAGAAGAAGTATTTGATTTATCTATAGATAAAGTGTTATCATGCCTTATTTTTTTAACTTTTTCTAATGCAGTATCCGCTTCTGAATTATTTTTGTCAACACTTTCATCTAAACCTAAATCTAAAGTAGGTTTTTGTTTTTTCTCTTGCATTTCAAGGCCATCGAAATTATCTTCTTCAAATTCAATGTTTCTAGATTTTCTTTTCTTCTTAACTTTTACTTTGTCATAATTCTGAGTAACACGTTCAAGTTTCAATTTAATCTGATCTTGAATCTTTTCTTCCATAAAATCAAATATTTTAGTCATTTTTTCACTATTTGTTATATTAGATGTCAAAGTATTAATGACGCTTTCCACATTAGTATTTTCTATAGATTCCACTATCCAACTAGATGTGGCTATAACGTTATTTGAATTTATTTTATTAGATTTTTTATTGCTATCTAATATGCTCTTTTGTGTAATTTTGTTATGTGAATTATTCATTGTATTTTCAACATTAAATTCTGTTATTGTTAAATTTTCATTATGACTGTCAATTTCAAGTGATTGCTTATTATTACTATTGTTATCTGAAAAATAAATATTCATTAATAAAATTTGTAGCTTCTACTTATTAGAATTACATCTGCAAACATACCTTTCAAACTAGTATCTGCTAATGAAATCGTCTGCTCACTAAAATTTACAACTTCTTGTATCTTTTCATTGTTTCGAGTTTCAGGAAAGTCTATACCAACGTCAGTATCTTTGCCTATGTAATAGATTTTAATAATAAAAAATACACATTTTTGATAATTCTATCACTTATATTATTGATAATACTATCACTTTTGTAAACATACCATTTAAAATACCATTAGGTTGTGTATCCTTTAATGAATTATCCGTTTGTTTATTTTCTAATTTATTTTCTAACTTCTTATTTTGATCAACCCAATATTTACGATAACTTTTAACAAATTCATTGATTTCTGATTCAGTTTTGATATTCCCTACCCAAGGATTTTCTTTATCATTAACTGAAAGCTTTTGTACAAATGTATCATCACCTGCATCTTCTTCTTCACTATCATTTGATTTTCTTAATTTCTGAGTTAATTCTCGACCAATTGATAATTGTTGTGCAAGTTCTTGTCGAGCCTAATAACATTAAGAGTAAGTTATTAATACTATATTATATTGAAGAAAAAATACATTTTTATATATATAAAAGATAATATTCACAAAAACATATAGTTTGTCCTCAATAATTTTAATAAAATAAATATTTACAATTATATTATTATTTAATAAACAATAAAAGATAGTTATATCAACATTGTGTTAAATCCAAAATCAATTAATATTTAATCTTTTTAAATACACTATTCTATTCTATGTATATTAACTAATTAACAGTTTTACAGTATATGCTATACTTACTTCTTTATCATATTTTGCCATAATTTGCTTAGATTTAGCCCACTTCCCTGTATTTTTATGCCTTAGTGTCATTCGCTCTTCTGCTCTAGTTCTATCTAGTTGTTCAAGTTTTTCCAATGCAGCTTCTGGATTAGTTTTCTGCAATTCTTCAAACTCTCTCAATTGCAATTTTATTTTTTCTTTTCTTTGAATACGGTGAAATTTTTTACTTTTAATTTTATTTTGGCGATGAGCCTTTGCTTCTCTATAAGACTAAAAAAAAAAAGAAAGAAGAATTAAATATATGTACTACATATAAACAATAGCTAAACTATTTTAACATAAGCACTTTAGTACTCTAGCACAAACCTGCTGTGCTCTGATTCTAGCAGCTTCTTTTCTTTTCATAATAACTTCCTTCAATGTTAAAGAAAATTCATCATGTTTTTGTTCAAGGTTCTCTTTCTGCGGTTCTAGTGCAGCAAGTTCTTTCTCTAAATCTGATTGAAGTCTAAATCTTTTAACAAATTCCGTAGATGGCTCAAATTGCATTGATGACTGATTTAAAGGAAAATGAAGCGATTCTGCTGTCCTGTTCCTTGTTATTACAGCGTTCCATTTTTTTAATTCTTGTTTTGTATTTTTAAAACCAACTATTCTCTTTATCTAAAATATAAATAACAATAACTATATTTAAACATATTTATATACATATTATTTATGAATATTTGACATAATAAAGTAGTTCTTACCCTGTCTGCTGCTGGTTTTTCCAATGGTTTTGGTAAAACTTGAACTTTTTTCCTTATAGCTTGTAAATTTCTGATAATTTCATGATGATGACCTTTTTTCCCTAAAGTTTTAGCTAAATCATATACATGAACCGCATCTTGATCAGATACTCCACTTTTTACCAAATGAAATTCTGATACTTCTAACGTAGGTTCACTTCGTTCTGCCTTTTTTACTCTATGAAAAATTTAAGGACATATTTCAGAAATGTATTAAATGTTATCTCATTTTATATTGTATTATATTTATATTAATATAAAATACTTATTTTTTTATACCTTCATATATCTTTTTCCATCAAAAATAATAGAAATTATGTATTATAATTATTATATATTAACTTTATTCATAAATGCATACCTTTGGCCTTTATCAAGCTGTGATACAGCTTCAAGAAGTTTATTATGAGACTCTGATACATCTTTATCGGTATCATCTAAATCTTCCAAATAATTTGTCGACAAATCCATATTTAACCACACCGCATGCTTTACTCTTCACGAAGCACCATATGTTTAGATTGTGTGTCTTCATAAAAGAAACAGAGATTATATATATAGGTAGAAATAAGACATTATTTCTTTATACTACTATGTGCTATTACAATGGTAAACCAATAATATATTAATACTCTAGCTAACATACCAACCAGAAAAAACTTTAGAACTTGCAATCAATTCCCTAGTATAATTATGCTGTCCCGCGGGCGTGTGCTGACCATCTATTAAGTACTTATCTTTTCATATGTTTAGGTTGACATAAGCAATTGGAAAATGTTATAACCTTTAAAGCCTCTTTCATTAAAAGTCGAGAAATAACATTTTACGCTATATTTTGATTAATATCCGATAAAATATATTGCGAAATATGAAATTTATCCTATTGAAAATATAAAATGAATTTACTTATAATATCAACTGTAAGTTGCCTTTTAGAATATATTTTCCCATCTTTAATAAAATATGTAAGTATCTGGACATTGTTTACATATTACATTTGTTAATTACATTTGTTGTAAATTGTCATTCGTTTGCAGATTACATCTCGTTTATATACAGTAAACAAACATGATATAGAATTACGAAATGATTTGATTAATTTGAAGCAAGAAATGATTGGGATATCTATAGTAGATGAATTTTCAAAATATGCAAAACTTCAACGTAAATATAATAAATTAGAAAGTACATTAAAAGAAAAAGGTAAAATAATGATATAATTAATACAATTATTAAGAAATAAATTAGATCTATATTTTATAATTTTTTTATGCAATAATTTAAGTTAACAATTAAAAATCTTTAATTTATAATTATTTGAATACAAAAACAAATAAAAATAGTTACATCTCATCGAATTTCTGTTCTGTATAAATTTTGCATTTGTTTGCGCTATTTATTGTCAAGTTCATTTTATAAAACACTTTTAATCGTAATGTACTTATTATTTAGCAAATGAAAGACTGTCTTCCAGAATGAAGGTACAAATATCTGTAACATATGGTTTTCGTATATTAAACGTAAGTGTTTGCCTATATTTATTATAATATAACATACTTAGTAATTCATAACATATTTTCAGGGTTCATTAATGTTGATTCTGCTGTGTCTATACAGAAATAAACCTGTAATAATTTTGCCAAAAGGCATGCTATGGCCAATACAAAGTTTATTAAGCTGGCCTTGTTATCATGAAGATTCAATTTCTTTGCTTATGTGGTTAATAATTGTAAGATTAGTTGTAGCTACCTGTAAAAGAAATGATATAACATAATATCATCTATAGTACTATATAAAAATTAGATGTTATAAGATGACAAAATAAAAATTTTTCACATAAATTATTATTCGCTGTGCATAAGCATACATGACAAACAATTTAGCTCCCAAGCTGTCAATGTATAGATAGAAACAACTTTAAAAATGTACATACAATTTTTACTTCTTCCTTAATGTGCTGTATGAATAATTGTACAATGTTCACTAAATATATTGTGTTTGTTAAAACATTTAAATAAATGTCATATTTTAAAATAGATTCTATTATAGCGTTGGGACTGTAAAATATTTGATTAGGATGTTACTTTTTAGAAATTTCTAAGGTCGCTAAAGATGAAAATGAAGGTCGTTTTTCACGAAAATAAGGCCTAAAAATTTTCGATCAACTTGTTGGCGTTCTCACGGATTTTGATGAAACGTTTTTTAAAATTTGATGTTCTTAATACTGTACGGCTTACTCTGTATGCATCTGAAGTAGTAAATTAGGTTTAGGTTACCTTTTATTTTCCGGTTGTCTCACAGCAACTGTTTACGTGGATTTCTAAAGTTCTGCCCTTTGTCAGACAAATGTTCATCAGGATAAATTTTTTAAATCATTCATATACGCGGAAAATAACCAGTATTCTCGGTTTTAGCGATTCAAAATACTCCCGAAATGATACATTCCAACCACAAATTTTACAATCCGAATACTATAGTAAATCCTTAATCTATTTTAGTAAATTATGAATATAGTATTTATTTTAAATAAGGATAACAATAAATTTTACAAAAATAATAGCAAAAAAGTGACTGTATTTCGTGAAAGCTTAAGTAAAGTACATAATATGTAATAATGAAATATATCTGTATATAACTATTAATAAGTAATAATTTCTTGTTTTAACAAAATTTCATTATATGTATATGACAATTAATACATCTATATTCCATATAATGTAGCAACGTTTTATTCATATGTAGAGTATTCGAGAAACATTATTTTATAAAGCTTAAAAAAAGTATTAATTTTTGTTATTATTACTATAGTTAAATATTTACCGTTTAATCATCAGTATTCTTACGATTTTAAGTTAACTTCTTTTCTGATATCAATTTGCATCTTTTTTAATGATTTTATGCTTTAACATTGCGACACATATGATACCCAAATATTACACATATAAATTGTATCATAGAAGAAATTCTATAATGTGAAGGCTAAATTTATTTCTTTTTTCCTTTTTTCTTTTTTTTCCTTTTTTTTAAACTAAAAAGCTGAATTGTATATCTTTTACTTTATTACTGGACAAAGAACAAAAATGTTGTCCATAACATATTGTTAATAACAAATTGAAAAATCTCGTGACATTTTGAGCACCAATAGTAAATAATAATATTCAAATTATTATAAAATGTAGCACAAGATTATTATGCTTTACTTTATCACATTCATATAAATATCAATTGAAAATATATTATACATGACATATGTTACAAAATGGTAAATTTTGTGATTAAAGAGCAAAATATACTAATTTAATATTTGACTAACACACAAATATCGTCAAAAAAAGAAAACAATATTTATATATTATTGTTTTAAAATGGAACAAATATTACATGCATGAAATAATGGCATGTCTGACAAATCGAATTAAATAATTATTATTTGAAAAATAGAAATATGCAATTAATACTTGGAACATTGCTAACACAATAAAATATTTGAAACATATTTGATAATAATAATCTTCTCATTTTAAATATGATTGCATTTAAATGCAACAATGTCATGTAGATGTTATTTCACAATATTAGTTTCGTCGATTTGAAACACAGCATACAAATGCTTACGTATGAAATACTCACATTATGTGATTGTATACAAAATATTAAACCAATCATATTTAAAATAATACAAAGTCCAATATTCTTTGGAAAAAAGAATTTAAAAAGTTTCCATTTTATAACTTTATTTATTCTTTTTTTTTTCGTTAACTGTCTTTTTTTAATCATAATTGCATATTTTTTAAGGCATATTAATTTTAAATATATTATCGCTCTTCTAGTTTCATTATAAGTATTAATCATACGAAATTATGATTGTGCAACTTGAACAAAATTATATTATTATCTATTATATTATGCCATTAACATTATAAGAAAAAAATATTAAAATTTAAATAAGTTACATAGTAACCATTACAGAAGTATTTATTTCTATTACCTAAGTACTTAAATTAAAAAATATTCCTCTTGTATTACTATTTCAAAGATTTAAAAAAGAAGCATTAAGTTAATAATAATAATAAAATACACACAAAGGAAATTAGAAGAGCGATTTTTCCTTTAATTTTCATTTTGTTAGTCTATTTGAAGCAGCTCAGAATTTCATATGTGATTTATATTAATATTTTTTTTTTTTTATATAAATACTATTTTATGTTTCAAGAAAGATTTAAGCGATTTGATACCAAGTATAGAGCAATTTATAGACTATTTATTTTTATGAATATTCTGTAATTAATTCATGCGCGCTATACTATGATTGTAAAATGAAATGATTAAAATATTGAAAACTGAAACTCTTTTTAAAATAACTTTTGAGTATGTCATACAATCACATAGCAAAAATGCATCAACAAAAAAGTACTTTATACGAATACACGATGAAATATTTGTTATTAGATGAATTCAACTGACTTATGTTTTAGTAATATCCATTGGTGACCCGCTAGTTGCGTTTGTAGCTGTGTTAGCGGCAATTGGCGGACCACTTGGACTTACAATAGTTGGTGGAATTGCAGGTTTAATAAATCTATCTGATGTGCGTCTATTGGATGATGTTACAATGTGACCCTGTTTCAATATAATATAATATTTCAGATTAATGTCATTTTTAAATGTTTCATACACATAAATTACATTTATACATTACTTAGTACTATTTGATTATTTGACTAATTAACCACTATAAAATGTAACTTACAGTGGAAGGTGGTGATGAACTTGCAAATGGAATTGTAGTAGGTTGACCACAAGCATAACATCGATTTGTGTTAAATCCCTCTCTGGTTGATGAACCTATTCACAAATAATATTAATATGTTAATAAAATAAATTTATACAAATAATAAATATGGGATCATGTAATATTGAAACATAAAAGTCGAAAATTTACTTTATTTTTATATAAAACAAGGATATTATACCTGGACTTAGTGGTCTAGAGGAACTAGGTGAAGGATTGTACGGCACTGGGCTAGAAACAGTACGATTTCTTATATTTCCACCAGACATCACAATTTCATTGTAGTGCCGTTCTTCTTCCATTTCCAAACTAACAAATAGATGAATTTGTAATAAAACTAAAACATTTGTACAATCTATATAGTATTATTTACCTGGACTCTGACTCGGAAAGATGTCTACATAAAGCTTCGCGACGTTCTACTTCCAGCTGTAATTTTCTTTGAAGTCTTAAATTTTCTTCACGAATTTGTTTCTCTTCGTTTACATATCGTTGCATCTTCTCTGTATCTAATACAAAAATACAAACAGATCCAACAATGTTAGTTAACAAAAACAAAAAAATTAAATGATTTTAGTATTACTAATTAATTCATAACATTATTACAAACTTAATGATTTCGTATATGATATCTATTATCATTTCAAATATGTATATATGCATAATTACTTTATATTATGAATTATTTCCTTTAATTACAATTATTATTCTATTACAATCTTTCTTTTCTATTCTCTCTTAATTCTTTTTTTTTAGTTTGCTACTTCTAATTTTGTATTTATTAATATCTTAAGCACTGTATAAGAGAATTGCAAGGTTCTAATTATCTATAATACAGTATTGCTGTTACAGCATAATATTATATTAAACGTGAAGCTAATAACAAAATATAAATACATCAATCAAATTATTTCGTGTCACTATTTTTACTTTTCTTTCCAATAATCAAATTAATTTATGTAATTCTAGATGTAATAAAAATATTATATTTATAAAAACTTATTTTAAAATATATTTGTTATTACAAATAAATCTAATTATATGATAAAAATTCTTACGTTCTTGTTGTGAGATGAACAAAGTATGTCTTAGTCTGGCTACTTCACTCCTTAGAGTTTGAATATGTGCACTTAAACTAGTAGCAGTATCACCATTATTGATTTCTCTTGGTGAAGCAGGATCTGATACAGGTTGATCTAATTTTATTTGCAGCATTCGCTTCTCTGCTTCCAATTTATCCATTCTTTTCCATAATTTATTTACTAATGCTTCTTGCTCCTGTTCAAGTGTGTTTTCCAGTTCTACTTTTTCTCTACGCAACTGCTCTAGATTACTTTGTTTCGCAAGTGTCTCAGCTTCAAGTTTTTCTATTTTCCTCATTAATTTGTTCACAAGACATTCTTGTTCTTGTTCTAAAGTTTGTTCTAATCGACATTTTTCTTGACGCAATTGATTCAATTTTCTTGACAAATCATTAGTTAAACATTCTTCTTCTTGTTCATAATGATGCGCCAATGTTTCTTTCTCTTTCTTAAGTGCTTGGATTTTTTTTAATAACGTATTACTTATAAATTCCTCCTCCTGCTCAGCTTTAGCTTGCTATAATATAATCCAATAAAAAAAGATCAAAATGCCAATAGAAAATGTGCATAATTAAAGATTGAAAATTGTTATCAAATTCCATCAACTATAACAAAGTTATTATGAAGTTCAATAGTTGAATAATTAATTTTAAACCTCTCTAATTTGAAAAATATATTTGTAATTATGATTTTATAAACAATTTCGTTAATGTATTAACTATACAAATATTACTTCTATTATCCAATTATTAGATTTCAAACAAATAATATAAATAATATAAAAACAACAAATATTGTTTAAATACATAAATTAAAAATAATTTATAACTTTTTTTAATGCAGAAGTAGTTTATTTTATAATCAAGAAATCATTTTACTCTAAGACAAGACTTTTATATCTAATTTTTATTATAGTAGTAAAATTATATAAAGCTGAAATCATTTTATAGATTTAAATTTTATATGCATTTTAATACATTGAATACAAAAAATTATGAGAAACTATACAGAAACAGAAGATTGGAACAAAATCATATAAAATGAATGTATGAAAAATTATGACTACATAAAATAGATTATAAAATGAAATAATACTATATAAAAAACAGTTTATATCGAGAAAATGTTTCTAATTTAACCTAAAATTAAATATTTTGAGTATCCAAAAGTAAAATATATATTTTCAAAAAATATTCTGTACTAAATAACATATGTAATTAGCAAATTAATAGACATTATTTATTTAGCAAAAATATAGAAGAAACTTACTATAATGACAGAGGCTTGCCGAAGACCACGATTCTCTTCTTGTAACGCTTTTACTCTTAATTTATATGTTTCTAGCTCGACTTTAAGAACACGATTATGCTGTTGTAACGACTCAATCCTTTTTTGAAGTTGTTCTCTAGTTACAGGAGACGGTGGCATCATTATCGGACCTCCGTCGATCGAGCTTGAGTCGCTTTCAGATGCGCTATCACGGTCAGCCATTTTTCTTAGACAAAAATTTCTTTAAAAACAACTTACAATCCTTTCTTTTTCATCGCACCTTCAAATAAATACATATAATATGTTTCTCTTAAGATGCAAGTATTTAGATTTTTGTTAAAACCTCATTACTTTGCATGAAAAATAACGTAATATTATAACGTTCTACCACGACATGTGCTCTACAGTAAAACGAATCAGCTGTTTCGCTGTTTGATTCTCCATGAATTATGTACTTGCAAAGAAGATGTCAAGTATATTTTGAAACTGTAATTCCCCAGAGCTTAAAGAATTTATTTGTTACATTCATGGCATATTTAAATAACATACTAATCTTTTAAATAATAGGAAAATTAAGTTAGAGAATTGTTGTAACTCTAAATGATTAATCAATTATAAACTATATAGATTTATAGTAAATATTTATTATTTCATTATATTTTTATTACATTTAAATTTATATCTATTACAATTTTGAATGTGTATAGGCAATTTAACTATCTTATTTCTACCGCAATTCTAGTTAACAAAAGATTTATAATAAATATATGAATTCTAGGTAATATATATCTGTATGTACAACACACGTGTATGTATCGTAACAAGTATATGATTATAAAGCGAGTCAGGTTAGTATTATCCGTGATATTATCGCATAACTTGAAATTCTAATCATGTTAAACATCTAGCTTGAGACTGAGAATAAAGGATAAGTATTTTTTAGCTTGACTTTTGTTATAGGTTATTTACCTTATAAAATTTTTATGGTGTATGTACATAAGGAAAAATTATAACCTCCTTAGATAAATATGGATGCAGATTTTGAAGAACTATCGCATGACATAGATCTTATTGCAAAAGTTAAACAATACCGTGATGCAACGACGAAAATTCAAGATACAATTAAATATGCCGCAAATCCAGCAGTATATGAAAAACTTTCTGATACAGATAAAATACAGTATAATCTATTGATGTCTTACTGCCTAAATAGTGTGTTTTGGATGTATTTGCGTGCAGAAGGTAAAGTACTAATAAAAGCAGTATAATTGTACAATAATTTCAAATAAAATAAATTATTGTATGATTTTTATTGTATTCATTTTATATGTATCTAATTAGGAATTGACCCAGCAAAGCATCAAATAAAGTCAGAAAATGACCGTTTAAAAAGGTCTATGACACGTGCAAAACAAATTAATGACAAGAACACATTTATGCCTCGTGTAAACAAAGATGCAGCACAAAGATTTGTTAGGAATGGGTTGTGGGAAATAAAGAATAAAAAAAAATGATATGAAAATAATGGATGTAATATTGTATATAAATAAATTTGTTTTATAAATTAAGTAGTGACCTAAATGTATAAACAAAAATATATTAAACATGACGTTATGTATAATGCTGAATCTATTTTATTCAATAGTTTATATTTTCTTAAGTTAAGTCTGACAAATTAATTGTATAAAAAATTATATAAATAATACTTTTACATAAACAAATAATTAAGTTTTATGCATGTGTCCTTTAAAGAAAAAAAAAGTAACTTTATCTCATACTTGTTTACTAAAGTGACTGTTTATATCCTTGTGACCTATGAATAGGAGGTATAACACAAACAGTATTATAGCAGCAAGACATATAAAAGACAGAAATTTACTTTCAATAATAAATGCTTTTATATGTTTATTTTCATAAGGAAAAATTATAACCTCCTTAGATAAATATGGATGCAGATTTTGAAGAACTATCGCATGACATAGATCTTATTGCAAAAGTTAAACAATACCGTGATGCAACGACGAAAATTCAAGATACAATTAAATATGCCGCAAATCCAGCAGTATATGAAAAACTTTCTGATACAGATAAAATACAGTATAATCTATTGATGTCTTACTGCCTAAATAGTGTGTTTTGGATGTATTTGCGTGCAGAAGGTAAAGTACTAATAAAAGCAGTATAATTGTACAATAATTTCAAATAAAATAAATTATTGTATGATTTTTATTGTATTCATTTTATATGTATCTAATTAGGAATTGACCCAGCAAAGCATCAAATAAAGTCAGAAAATGACCGTTTAAAAAGGTCTATGACACGTGCAAAACAAATTAATGACAAGAACACATTTATGCCTCGTGTAAACAAAGATGCAGCACAAAGATTTGTTAGGAATGGGTTGTGGGAAATAAAGAATAAAAAAAAATGATATGAAAATAATGGATGTAATATTGTATATAAATAAATTTGTTTTATAAATTAAGTAGTGACCTAAATGTATAAACAAAAATATATTAAACATGACGTTATGTATAATGCTGAATCTATTTTATTCAATAGTTTATATTTTCTTAAGTTAAGTCTGACAAATTAATTGTATAAAAAATTATATAAATAATACTTTTACATAAACAAATAATTAAGTTTTATGCATGTGTCCTTTAAAGAAAAAAAAAGTAACTTTATCTCATACTTGTTTACTAAAGTGACTGTTTATATCCTTGTGACCTATGAATAGGAGGTATAACACAAACAGTATTATAGCAGCAAGACATATAAAAGACAGAAATTTACTTTCAATAATAAATGCTTTTATATGTTTATTTTCATTATACAGGGTGATTGGTAACTGGTGATACAAGCGGAAAGGGGGTGATTCTACGCGAAAAAAGAAATCGAAAATATAGAATAAAAATTTGTCGTTTGAGGCTTTGTTTTCGAGAAAATCGACTTTGAATTTTCGCTCGGTACGCGTGCACTTTATCACGTCTCGTTATAACGGATCTCACTGTAGATCGTTGTCTCGATGGAAAAATTAAAAAAAAATTAAAAAAAAATTTTTATTCTATATTTTCGACTTCTTTTTTCGCGTAGAATCACCCCTTTTCCGTTTGTACCACCAGTTACCAACCACCCTGTGGAATAATATATAGAAAGGAAATAATATATAGAATATAATATAAGGAATATATAATATAAGGAATAAATATATAGAAATATATTATAACCATAATAAAATTAAAGAGGTAATAGAATGGAGAAAATAATATCTAATACATTTTCCAAGATGATAAAAATTGCAATAAAAATGAAAATACTTCTTGTACATAAGATTTATGTGTTTCAACTATAGTTATATATATATTGTATATATAGAGATATATTATCTTTAAAAGATAAAAATGATGCTATATCAAAAAATAAGTAAGTAATATTAAAAATTTACAGTTTTTCATAATATAATATAAATAATTATGTATATATAATTGTTAAGAAAGAAACAATCCATTTTATTATATCAATTTTTTTTGTATTTTCGTAGGCTGAATAAATGCTTGAAAGGATTAAGTATATGATCTTATTTAGAACATAATGAAAGAAGAAATGAATATTTTGCAGGAAAAATTAACAATATTATTGAGACACTTCATACAATGAACGTTAAATCTTATTCTTCAGATATTCTTTTATATTGGAACTTCTTTGTTTTTAATCTGTACAAATTTTCATGATAGCAAATCAAAATTTACATTGTGGTATTATATAGATGACATTTTTGCACCAATTGAACAACCTATGTATTCTGCAACTATGAAATGTAATCCAAGAAATGTATGAAATATTAATGCAAAAGTATATCATTCTCCTAATCATACAAACATATTACACATGTATATAGAACACGTAATAGATAAAATGTCTAATAAAATAAGATATAACATTAAAATAAAACTTACAATCACTATAATATAGATTATAATCTACATTTAATGTTATCTTTAAAATCCTGTTTCGATAGATTTTTACTATATTTAACTGTATTTCACATTTAATTTTTATAAGGTTTTAAGCATTTATTTTTTAATAAAATGTTAGGTACATAATAAAGTGCTATTGATAATATGTTTCTGCCTATTTAATATTTTCCTAGACAGAACTGGTAAAAATATAGGTAATAATCAGAGTTTTTGCAGATTTTTGTACACTTACGGAAAATTTAAAGGTACAAAGAGTACGCACAATATACAAAAATATATAAGATATCCAAAGTAGAGTACTCATTATAATTTTTAATAATAAAAACGAATCTCCATTTAAAGCCTATTTCTTTAGCCGTGTTCGTAAATATCTACAGTTTAATTATGAAATATTGTCACATAATTTCACATTTTATAAAGTTACATGAAACTTCCAATAATTCCAATACATTGTTTAAAATAATAATGAACAAGAATTATTCTGTGTTACATGTGATTAAGAAATAGTATATTATATATTAAAATTATTAATTGATGCACCATCTGTTGAAGCGCTAGTATCTCAAACTGGTTTTATAGATATGTATATAGCATAGTAGCGTATGTAGTACCGTTACAGATTACAGCCTTGCAGGTTACAGCTTAGCTTACGGCCACGTTACAGCGTGGTTCGTTCTGTGCATTGCTGTCAGGGTATATATTTTTCATTGTTAGTTATAAATATTTCCTATTAATGACGACTATTTGAAAACGTGTAATTATTATAATACAATTAAAATTTGATACTTTGACAATTAAAAGATAATTATTTTTTATTAAATACTTATTAAAATTATATCTTTCACTTGATCGATTTGCCACGTATAGTATATAAGTGCATACATAAATACAGGGAGTCTCACCTGAAATTACCATCTTGATTTTTGTCATTATTATTATTTGCAGTGGGAAATGATTTGATGGGATGGTTTCGAAGGGTGCATGTTCTGATGCTATTAGCTTTTTTTATGGATGGACGCGATAAGGGCTTAGGATAGTCAACTTTGATTTTTTAAATGAAATCATGTATTTTTTTAATCCAGTAATCGACGCAATTCATCATTCCTTGCGCAAGAATATTCTATTTATACTAAAAAAAAATCATTAAATTAGGAGATATCTTAACTTTAATTTGTCAAATTTAATGTATGGAAGACAAAGATGACGTAAACATAAGAATACCGTTTTACGTTTATCCTTTCTTCACCAACAAAAAAATTAATGATATCAATATGTGCACCCATCGAAATAATTCAACTGTCATCCAAATATTTCTAGCTGCGAATGATAATAGTGACAAAAAGGCCCTATATACAAAATTAAAACTAGTAAAGACATAATAAAGGTACTGTACCAGCTAATATTCATTCGCGATTTTATCGCATACTGCATTCCATCCAACGTATCAGAATTTCATCTTTACTTTTATTGCTATATTTTACATTTTGATTCCTAACAACAATAGTTTTTTGAAGCCACAGAATACTTCTTCCATCGGTTTAAAGATTAACATTTGCCTGCAATAGCCATGGAAATGGGATTTTTCCTTTTCACTTTTTATATCCAATATGTATTGTCCGAGTCAGAATGATTTATAAGGGTTTATTCCTTGCTACGGTCATTGGCTGAGACTTGTGAAATTTCTCGTGTAGGATATTATAAATTTCTCAGTAGGATATGTTACATACCATACATTCTAAGCCTGAGAGCGAAAGTACGGTTAGTTTGATGGTTCGACGGTTGGGGTGGTCACTTCCACCCCCTAAAAGTGAAATATCTAATTATGTAAAATTGACTAACCCCCTTGCAAATTCTGAAAATATTTGAACAACCAATTCGCGTGTTTTACGCTAATATATCTTATACAAGATGTCTTACGATAATCTTTCGGACAAGTTGTCCTCAGTCGTCAGTCGTCAAACGCTACTGTCAATGTTATTCATATCGTTGCTTTTCAAACACTCACTTCGGTACCTTCAAAACATTCATTTCAATACCTTTAATCTTCAAACATTCTCACACTTTCTTATACCTTTATCCATATTCATATATCGTATCTCATTTGGTGGTTATATTAAAGTTTCAGTGCTAATTATTGACCAGTCTCATCGCGGTCGCGTTAAAACAGTTATGTCAAACGAAATCCCAAATAAACGTCTGATGACGGTACGTATAAACCTTGATGAAATACATTTCATCTTAATGCCTTTTAATAAACTTTATCAATCTTATATAAAGAATCTTTTTTATTAGAGTTGTAGCAATGTATTGGAGCAAGCACATCATGTATCAAGAGCAAAACGTGGACAAGCAATGGGAAGTATAAGAGGTTTTCGAGGCTGTACAGTTTGGTTAACAGGCCTTTCTGGTGCTGGGAAAACTTCAATAGCTTTTCAAGTTGAGGCAATTTTAATTGATCAAGGAATTGCTGCTTATGGACTTGATGGAGATAACGTAAGGAGTGGTTTAAACCACAATCTTGGCTTTACCAAGGAAGATAGAAAAGAAAACATAAGGAGGGTTGCAGAAGTAGCTAAATTATTTGCTGATAGTGGACAAATTTGTTTATGTAGTTTTGTATCACCATTTGAAGAGGATAGACAAATGGCAAGACAAATTCATAAAATGTCTGATCTTCCATTTTTTGAAGTTTTTGTTGATACACCTCTTACTGTATGTGAAGCAAGGGATACCAAAGGATTATATAAAAAGGCACGTCAAGGAGCGATCAAAGGCTTTACTGGAATAGACCAAATGTATGAAAGACCAGTAAATCCTGATTTAGTGGTAGTCACTGAAAACTGTACTCCAGAGGAATCAGCTGCAACTGTTATTGATCTTCTGGAGAAACAGCATATTATACCTGTACTTCAAAAACCTGCAATGCCAATACGGGAGTTATTCATTCCAGAATCACGAATATCTTTGGCCAAAACAGAAGCTGCTACGCTTCAGAACTTAGAAATTAATGAAATTGATGTACAATGGCTCCAGGTTTTAGCAGAAGGTTGGGCTGCACCTCTTACCGGTTTCATGAGAGAACACCAATATCTCCAGGTATATACAACATACATATATATTAACATGAAATACAACAATGCTGTTAAAAATTTAATTCTTGTTGTTATTAGAAGCATAAAATATTTTTAGACTCAACATCTAAAATGCCTCCGTGAAGGTGACAGAGAAATTAATCAATCTGTTCCAATAGTCCTTGCAATACATACAAAAGATAAAGAACGTTTGAGTGGACTTTCGTCTTTTACATTGAGATACAAAAACAAAGCTCTAGCAATATTACGTAGGCCTGAATTTTATTATCACAGAAAAGAAGAAAGATGTGGTTGGCAATTTGGTACTAACAATTTAGGCCACCCATATGTAAAGATGATTCATGAATCTGGAGATTGGTTAGTAGGTGGTGATATAGAAGTTATTGAGAGAATTAAATGGCATGATGGTTTGGATCAATACAGACTTACACCAAATGAAATTAGAACAAAATGCAAAAAGATGAAGGCTGATGCTGTCTTTGCATTCCAGCTTCGAAATCCTGTACATATGGGTCATGCATTATTAATGCAAGTAAGTTCATTTATTTATTTATTATTTACGACAGAATTTATGTAAAATATTTTATGTATAAGTATGTTATATTTGTATTTCTAGGACACTAAAAAACGTTTATTAGAAGAAAGAGGATTTAAAAATCCTATTTTATTGTTACATCCTCTAGGTGGTTGGACGAAGGATGATGATGTACCACTACAGACAAGGATTCTGCAACATGAAGCTGTACTTAGTGAAGGGGTTTTAGATCCTAACTCAACATTATTAGCAATTTTTCCAAGCCCTATGATGTATGCTGGGCCAGTTGAGGTAAATTTTGATTATGAACGTATTTTCATTTGTTACATAATTATAATGAAAATAAAATATGACAGGCATATGTAATATAAATAGTGTCTATAATAGTTTTTTCTACATTACATTTTAATCTTTAGTAGCAAATGTTGTCAAAATTAGTGATTTTTCATCTATAAACATAGTTACATTATTGATCTTGTGATGAATACTATGTTTATAAGTTTATTTCTACTTGTGCTACGTAAAGTTCATACTTCATATAGTTATAGTTTAAATCTAGTAATTGAAGTAGCCATCATATATGTTTACTTTTTATATTATATTAGGTCATCTCATAAATAATGCAGTTCTTCTAAAAATTGAATTTGATGCAAGAAGTTGTCAGGATAGAAAAAGAAGAATAAGAGGCTTAATAAAAAAATGGCAAAGAGTTCTAGAAAACGAAGGAAAATATATGACTAATTAATTACTTATAGATATGTTAATTACCGAAAAATGTTATTATTTATAAAATGATCTAATATATGTAAAACGAAACTAAAAGTAAGAACTAGAATAAAGGAACCTTATAACAAGTTTTTAAATATTTTACTCAAAAATTTTGCATTACTGTTATAAGGTTTCAAGATTTCATCGACTCTAAGAAATACATACTATATTCTAATGACATATTAGAATCCTTCTAGTGTTATTTCATTTCATGTTCATTTTATACATTATTAGGTACAATGGCATGCAAAGGCAAGAATGAACGCTGGTGCTAACTTTTATATCGTTGGAAGAGATCCTGCTGGCATATTACATCCTAACAAAAATGCAACACCTGATGGGAATCTTTATGATCCTACTCATGGAGCCCGAGTTCTCTTACTAGCTCGAGGCTTACAATCGCTAGAAATCATACCGTTTAAAGTTGCAGCATATGATAAAAAATATAAAAAAATGTCCTTCTTTGATGAGAAACGAAAAGAAGATTTTGAATTTATATCAGGGACGAAAATGCGTTGTATGTATAATATACTCTTATCTGTGTATTACATATTTTTATAACTTATAAAATATTACAATATATATAATTTTATATAATATTAAAACGTGAAAAATTTGATTTATTAAAAAAACACAAGTTTAATATTTAAAATATTTGTTATAGGTTTAGCAAAAGCAGGTGAAAATCCACCTGATGGTTTTATGTCACCTAAAGCATGGTTTGTTCTTGCACAATATTATCAAAACCTAGAAAAGTAAATATTTAGTGCAAAAATCGCTAGAAATTATTAACACTTTAGAATGAAGTGTTTATAGAGTAAAATTAGTGTTTCAAATATTGGAAAAAAATGAGTAAAGAATATTAATACCTGATGTAGTATTAATATTATTATACATTTATATATTTATACATTTTAATTGTACAGCACAGCGATTTCTGCATTTATCTGTTTTAGATAAGTTCATATCTTTTTGCATTTATTCTTAAAATGTATGTATATATATATGTATATCCCTTAATTTTATTTTATGTAAATATAAAATTCAATTACATTTTTCACAAAAATTTTATAAAAATATATATGATATAAGTATGATCTTTCATTGTATCTATTTTAAGAAGTGTATATTATATCATGTCCAAAAAGAAATTTGTATAATTTAAATGTAAATTTAACAACTATTTATATATGATAAAAATATACAAACACTTGCAAATGTTTTATGTACAAAAGTATCTAACGCTCAAATTCTTTTATTATCACCATGAAATATTAGTTTAATTTACAAATAAAAATTTGATGATATAGGAAAATAAATAAAAGTTAAAATTGTACAAGATGAGATATTCGAGTACATAACTTATTGTAATTGTACGATAAGTAAAACTACGCTTATCGTAAAAGTTTAAATAATTATGCGATATATCACAAATGATCGTAATGAAATGTATATAAAAATATATAAAAATCGTATATAGATATAATAAATTTCACTTATAATTTTGAAACAATAAAGAAACAAAATTTTATTACTAAAAATGTCTAATTTACCATAATATAAGAAAGTATTGTTATAAAACAAGGCAAACATTACTTTTAACTAGAATATGGATTTTTATGCAAATTCATATTTTTGAGAACATAATTAAAGAAGTAGAAACTTGGTGAAAAATTGTTTTATCTATCAAATGTTATAGAAAATTATTGAATATTTTACACATTTTTTCACAGTATGACCATTTTGTACAATTTTGCACTACCAAATTTTATACAAATGCATAAAAATCTACAATATACTTACAATATAAGTAAACATTACTTATATTTAAAATATATTTGAATTAACACTTGAGCATTCATTGCACAATATATTCAATTCTATAATATAATTTCTGTTTTAAACATACAAAGTTATGTTAGAAATATATATCATATATTGGAAAAATCTTCGTCAAGAAGCTGTTGCACAACAACTTCCTGATGATAATTGAAATGGTGAAATGTATTTTAGAGATGCAGGTGAAACAAGACAAGTAAATAATTAAGCAATAAGAAGTACGTTTTGATAATTCAGCTAGAAAGATCTATTTCAGATAAAAACGAATTTGGAATAGGAAATTATGTCGCGAATGAACGAAAATGTAATGCTATTAGAAGATTTATAACTAAACATACACCCGTGCAAGAGAATAAACCAGTTACAAAAGATATTAATCTGAAACATAGAAAATAAATGATAAATTCTAAACTCGGGAAAAGAACTGTGAGAAGAAGAAAATTTAATTGCGGAAGCGGATGAACTTGAGAAAGAGCTCAGCACAGTAAAAGAAACTTTTATTTCCATTAAAGGAATTTATCCAAAAATTACTTTTATAAGAGCAAATGCTGGTTGAGGCTAACAAAACGGAGCTTCCATTACGTCTGAGCGAATATTAATCTATTGGAATTTCCGATGGATCAACTGCTCTAAAACGCGAATTAAATTAACTATAATAAGTCAAATTAGTCTTAAAAGCAGAAGGGCAGTTCAGATCTAAATTACATGTTGCATTAACTAATAAAAATCTTAAAATTAATTAAAATCTTATATTTTATCAAAGAATTATGAAGATACCAAAAATTTTGGTCATGATGTTATCCACTTCCAAGGAACAGTTAAATAAATTAGCGAATAGATTACGGAAATAGATAATCCTTATAACAAACCTGATGAATGTCTTAGATCATACAAGAGGTTAAGGCTAAATGATTCTAATAATTCTAGTTTAAATAGTGATGGAACTGATACTGCTCCAATTAGTCCATATAAATGAAGAAGATTAAACCAATAAGAACAATAACCGACAAGTAAGTTCATAATATAATATGAATAATTATGTATATGTAATAATTAAGAGAAAGATAATCCATTTTATTATATCAATTATTCTTATACTTTTTTAGGATGAATAGAAACTTAAAAGAATTAAGGATAGAATTTTACTTAAATCATAATGAAGGAAAAAATATCTTGCAAAAAAAATTAATAATACTATTAAAACACTTCATATAGTGGTTGATAAACCGTATTCTTCAGATATTCTTTTGAATTAAATTAAGTTCTTTTTAATCTGATAAATGTGTAAAAGGCCAAGTGGTTCGAATGAGTAGTTTAAAGAGAAGTGAAAGTGACAGTGTTCCAGTAGTCCATGAAAATCAAAAAAATTGAAGACGGATTGTGTCATTAAAGATTGTTGATGATTGTGTGCTTTAAAAATACGATTATTTAACAAAATGTTTGTATATAAAATAATGTAGAAATATTACTGGAAAAAATCATTTGATAATGTTTTCTTAATTTACTATAATTTATACCTATAAAACGCATGATTTTTCTTAATAAAAATATTGCTGGTCCTTTTATAAATTAAGAAATGGAGAACTTACGAAATAATACCAATAAATAGAAAATAAAGTATTAATAAGCAGAAAATAAAAAATAAATGAATTTGTATTACAAACAATTTATATATAGACATGTGGTTATGAGCAACATCAATTTTATTAATCTTGAAAGTTTGTATTATCAAGTAAAATACTTATTCATCTTTTAGATTTGTACAAAATACTTTATATCATACTACAGATATTTTTATTTATTATTTATAGTTAAACAAAAATTTTGTATTGTAAAGCACTAAGAAGAGATAAAATTTGTTATATTATCCTTTTTACAGTTTTAAATTGATTTTAATAAGTATTTTCACACAGTAAATTAATTTTACAAAACTATTATTTTGATAGCAAATAGCTATTTTGACCTTTAGGTACATAATATCCTAGTGTAGTGAAATCTATATATGTATACTAAAAGGAAATACACATTTTAGAACATGCTGAAATTGGGTCTATAGGAATGTGATTTAGCCCCTACTTATTTATACCAAATAAACAGTTCTTTTTTAAATGTATAATTACCACAATAAAACTTTAAAAATTATTTCTTTATACAAAGCATATCGCAAATATAAAATGCGAAATTGAATTTAATTATTATACATAATGGATGCAGTAGCTAAATTGACCTCTGTATTTGCATCGGATAAATCAGGTAAAGATAACATCACTGGAATCACTTGTATTTTCCCTGAATCATCTTCTTGTTGCAAGTGAACTACAGCACCTGATTGTAATATTTCATTTGTCATTATTTCATCTGCCATAATTTCTGTAGGTTCAATGTTATCCGCAGTTACTTCTTCTGTGTAAACTGTTGTGTCTTCCATATTCATTATAACTTCTGCTGCATCAGAAGCTTCTCTGGATGTTTCCTCATATTCCTGAGAAATAACATGTATATAAAAACTAAGAATCTAATGTAATAAAAAATAATATAGAACTATAAAATTATGTTTACCTGTTCATATACTTGTTCATATTCTTCTGTTATTTCTTGTTCTTCAAATTTAATCTGTTCTTCTTCAAATTTAACTATTTGTTCTTCTTCAAACTTAACTATTTGTTCTTCTTCAAATTGTTGATCTGTCTGTTCTTGATATTCACTTTCAGGAACTTGACACTTTATATTATTTAAACTTTCGTGTTCAGAACAAGAAGAATCTTCTAATAGTTTAGGTTTACTATTTCGACTAAGTATTATCCTTTTAAATCCAGATCCTCCTAAGCTTTCATGTCGTCTTTCATGTTTATTTTTATCACCTAAATATTTAAAACGTTGCCTACATACACTGCAAGAATATGGTCGTTCATTTGTATGAGTTCTTTCATGACATACAAGTGCACTAACTTGTTTACATCTCCAAGGACAATATCTACACTGTAAAGGTCTTTCATCGCTGTGCCTATTTTGTTGATGTTTAACCAACTGTATCTTAGTTTTCAATTTAAACCCACAGATTTCACAAGTGTGTGGCCTATCTTCAGAATGAGATACCAAATGAGTTTTTAATCTGATTTGATTCACAAATCTCTTTGGACAATGTGGGCACGGTATAGTTCCTTCTAATCTGTTATGTGTGACCATCATATGATGTCTTAACCTCACTTCGGAAATAAATGTTAATTCACAATCTAAACATTTCATAGGATCTTTCTCCATATGTGTGTTTTTAATATGCGTTCTCAAAATCATTTCTGTTTTGAATGTCTTACTACAACGATAACATGATGCCCTTCTTTTTTCTGGTGCCCCATCTATCCCTTCCTTTACACCAGGAAGTGTTTCATTGTGTATATGAGACATATGCCACTCTAATGATCTAGTTGAAATCATTGATCTATTACATATATGACAAGTGTATTGTCTACCATCCTTATGAACTCGGTTCCTATGTATAACAAGTGTTGAATGATTTGGAAACTTTTCACCACATACTTGACATGAACATTCTTTTAATCCCCTACTATCGGTCTTCTCATGTACTCTCATGTGTAACCTTAAACCATCTCTTCTATTAAATCCAACACCACAAGTATCACATCGATATTGACGTTGATCTTCATGAATTCTTACATGTTGCTTTAAAGTTGAACTATTTTTAAACATTTTGTCACAGTGTGGACACTGAATAGTATATGCTTTATGAGTATGCATGTGTTTAGAAAGGCTATAAAACGGTACTAATTTATGGCAAACTGGGCATTCTCTCTTATTACTTACAGGTTGATGTTTACGTATTCTATGATGTCTAAGACTTGCAGGATTTTTAAAATCAGCTCCACAGTCCTCACACAAATAGGCTCTTAAAGTTGTGTGTACAGATTTCAAATGAAAGCTAAGTTTTTGTTTGAATGCAAACTTTTTAGGACACTTTGTACATTGATATATTTTCTCCCAATTCATGTGTT